TGATTCATGTTGAAGCGATGCTGTGCGTTCCCTGCGCCAGGAGCCTGACAGGGAGTGAGTATAGTAACATTCATTGGCCTGTCCACTCAAGATCATGTAATCAGGAAATAGTTAAGTAAAAAGTAGTTAATGAGTGTAAGACAAGAGTGAACGAACACACCTCATGAAAATTCTTCAGAAAGAAAACGTAACAAATGTTTAAATCTGTGGCACGTTTAGGCTGAAAGATGTCTGTTCCTCAAGCAAGACAAGTTCTTTCCACAGGACAGTTTCACTGACAGCTTAAGCAAATATGAAACTTCACACAGCACTGCTTGTACACACAACTGAAGGACCTTTGCAACAGAAGTATGAGCATCACTTAGGTGCTATCGAGGGGATGTTGTCTTGTGGATAGTCTGCTTGCATGTAACAAAACCAGATATTTAACAAATGAATTCATATAAAGCATATATTATTGCCTCTATAGAGTTACAAGATGTTATGTGTTGTAAAATGCTTTTGGAACACTGTGCAGCATCTTTAACAAACAAACAAGAAAAAGATTAGAAAGCAGACATCTATCACTCGCCTGTCCACGTTGATTATGGGCTTGATTCTCCATTTTCTTCGGGTTTTGTTTAGCAACAGAAATGTTTACAGGAAGCTCGCGAACATAACAGCTCAGCCTGAGAAGTGTTTTACACTAAAACCCCTGGCTCTCTCCAAAAGATGTGCTTTTGAACATTGAGAGAAAGACCCTCCCATTAGTGTCACCAATGAGACACTACCCGACCAGTAACGCTTGTCTGTCTGCAGCTTTTGCACTGTTTGTGTGAGAGACGACGAGGTTTCAGACAGACAATAACTTTAGTTAACACGAATGTTAATTATCTATAAACTAAAAACACCTTGTGTTTCCAGAAGGTGAGTCTTTATAAAAAAAAAAACAGGTCATGACACAGTGATTGCAAATCAAACACTGGCATATACTAATCACAGGTTTTTGTAAAGAAAGAGGATTATAGTTTATAGCTGTTTAGGAGTATTCTATTAGAAGGCAATTTTATAAGTGGAATGCTTATTGATCAGTGTCTTGGGAGTTCAAAAAACTCCCAAGTTATGTTTTCCTAGTATAAATCTGCCATAGTGGTGTTATAAATCACAGTGCTTTGGGAACAGTCCTGAACATGTAAATAAGTGGTCTGATTGGTTATGTTTGACACCTCATGTCTTTCACTAATTAAATCCAAGCTGTAGGTTGTAGATTTCTGCTTAGTCCTTGAGGTTATGATTGGTGAAGGGAGAGAAAAGACACATATCTGTTCTTTAGCTCCTCCAACCGTTCGGCTAAAAAAAAAAAAAGCAAGCATGTTATTTAGAAGTTTGTGTACAAAATTTCGCTCAAATCCAAGATATCCAAGAAAACACTCACGCAGCGTGTGCTTCTCCCCTTTAGACCAGTACCGCTTGTCTGTCTGCAGCTGTTGCACTGTTTGTGTGAGAGACGACGAGGTTTCAGACAGCTGCTTAAGAGCCTCGAGCTCCTGAAACGTAAATGAAGAATATGCAAAACATTTGTATTTGAATATGCAAAATATATACAAGGGCTGTCCAGAGAGTATCTAGCCATGTAATTCAAAACTCTCTTCATTCTTTCGCAAAACTATTGCATTCCGCGAAGAAACTTTGCATTTGCATTCGAAATGGATTACAGGTATTAATGTTCAGTTTCTTGCACAGACCAATGATTTTGCTTCATAAGACCTCAATATATTGTCAGGAGCCATATGTATTAAATTTTGTGTCCCCTGATTTTTTATTTTTATTTTTTTTACTCTCAACGTGACTGTAGCCATTGACTTGTATTTCATGCATTACAAATGGTTTCAGCTACAAAAAAAAAAAAAATCTTTACTGTTCTACTAAATAAAAAAAAGTCAATTAACAGCACATTTTCATTTTTGGGTGAACAATCTCTTTAAGTTACTGCAGATAAATGATGTAGGATGCTTTACCGTATTACAGGTGTGCAGGAGCTGATGTACAGACTGAAACACAATAGCGCCAGAACTGAGGGCCGGAGGGGCTCTTTGGCAGTACGCCTTAAAGTCTATGTTGTAGATGTGTCCGAAAGCCGTCATGAGCTGAGACATGTCTGAGATGGCCACTTTCAGCGCACAGGGGGACAGAACAGCTGCCGAACCTGACGAATGTGAGTGTAGGAACTCACACTGACGAACAGAGAGGATCATGCTATTATTATGGAAACCAAACACATCATATCAGATGTGAAAAATGCACATGATGGTCCCACCTCTTTGTGGAGCTCGACTAATGTGCTCTGCGTAGACTGCAGCAGCGCCATGGCCTCTGTCAGGCTTTCTTCTCCATGACTTCCTAGTCGGGAATGTTGATCACTCCTTCAATGGCAGTACATAAAAACCGTGTTAAAGACAACAGTTGAAAACGTACATGGGTGCATAACAATCATACAGACCTGTTTATGAAATCACTGGGTTTACTGTGTTGTTTTCCGTTCATTTTGTTGTGAGTTGACTGTGTGCGTATTAGATGTTCACGGATATGCGCAGGCCACGGGTTGCAGACCGGATTCAGCAGCATATCCAGGTCTGATAAGTGATCCTGAAACATTAGTTCCCCAAGAAGATCATCGTTCCTCACGTTGTCATCACCAGAGGATGAGTTCTGCCTACATCCATCAAAACAAACAACATAGAAACAAGACCACATTAAATTATTGCAGGTGCATAGGAGGGCAGGACTAAAGGTTGATGTTAAATCAATGTTACAAAAAGCTGCAGAAGTCAGATACCTAGAGTTTATGGAGGAGTCTGCTTGAATGACCATCAGAAGCTGCTCCAGAAACCTCAGCTGCTGTAATGGTGGTGCAAGACCCTGAAAATATAACAGACACAACAGGACACATTAGTTCATTCTGTTTTAGATAATACATTTAAAATGATTAGATAAGAATAGTTGTTCTTAACCAAGTACCAATCTGTCCCAAACATTTTTGCTTGTTCAATCATGTTAATGAAGTATTCAACAGTGTTGCTAAAGGTGCACGTGAAACTGAAAAGATCACATTTTCAAAAACATTTCAGAGTAATCTCTATTCTGCTCTATACATAAATTGCACTAGACAGTATAAAGATCAGCATTGTATAACTTCATACCTTGATTAAATCCTGGTCGTTAGCTTTACATAACATCATTTCATAACCAAACCGTGCGAGTTCTGTGTGCGAGAGAGAAAGCACAACAAAACAATAAGCATAAGAAAATAACAAAACAATTTGAAACAGAGCAGACCGAGATTTTGTTGGATCTTCTCTTTGTAAATAAATAAATATCAGAGTAACAGATATACTTATGCAAAACTGAAACAACTTACTTATTCTAACCTGTGCTTACTAAAATATATAAAAGAAAAAGTTATCATAATTTTATTTTAATTAAATTACAATTAGCGATCCTTATATAGAGTCCTTTAATGTTATCTAATGATTCTTGTTCTAAATATACCTGACAAGTTTTTAAACTATTATTACACTGAATGGCATGGTAAAAATGTACGTAGTCATTATTTTATGCTCAGAAAAAAATAACTTTAACAATACACATTCTAATGTAGGGGGGGGAACCTAAATTTAAAGCTTAAAATGTACATTTAAAACGTATTGTTTTTATGCCTGAAAACCTTTTTTCGTCTTTGACCCATACAAAGGATTACCTTGAACTAAATCCTCATTCTGAGTTGCTTTAATTGTGGAAAACTTCTCCTTTAGGGATGGACAAATGCTTTGTAAAAACACACAAACAAAGTAAGGCATTTTAGTACACAGATTTGCAAACTACACATTTGTCATCATTCTAATCATGTTTGATAGTCAATCAGGCATCAGACCTGGCGCAAATCCATTTGAGTATATCAGTCCTGTGTAATGAAGGAGAGCAGAGGAGCTCCCGCACACTGTCCGGCTCCCGCAGGTACAGCCCATCCACCAGAGGACAGCCCAGACTCTGAGCAGTCAACACAACAGTTCAAACAGCTCATCTAGTTATTGTGTTACTGACACTTTGCTCTGGTTTCTTGTATTTGTCAGCTCGCTAAACAGATACATATGCAGCATACATTGAGCCTGACAGAAGAAACGATAACGTTAACTAAACCAGCAATTATATCAAGTACTGTATTTTTTTCTATTACACAAATGGTGTACTGAATTGTGGACAAAAGATAATATCTTAAACTATATGTTATTTTAATTATGTTAACCGTTACACACACAGCTGTTGTTAGCTCCTAAACTAGCAGCTCACAGACCCAAAACACTAACGTTACTACAGACCCAACACAGCCAGTTCTGAATTCGCGAAACATCAGAAAATGATTGTGTGTCATTGTCTGTGCGTGGTGTGTCTATTAAGATGTGTAAACTACCTGAAGGGTGTTGTAAACTCGCACAGACAGCAGCTGCTCTTTTGATTTGCCCGCCATGTTGTTATTTCTGCAGCTGAGCGAGTCCAAAGCTATGCGTCAGCGTCATTCAGCGCATGCGGCTACAGCGACCCCCGGCGGCCACAAGCATATTACAACGAAACACGATCCACAATAGGCTATACTGTAATTATACAGGCCTAAGTACGGTTTATAATATTTACCTTGAGCATTATAATAATTGAGGATTTGAGCATTTTTGTTTGGTGATTCAGTAAAACAAATAGTGTGGGTTGTTCATTTCTTATATTTCAGGTATGGATGTATGTATGTATGTGTATGTGTTCATATTTCTAAACATCCCCAAACTGTTTTTAATTCTTCATTTTAGATCATATGCAAAGTGATTTATCATTACATCCCAAAAATTTTTTGCTGGTACAAATCAAATCTCTAATGTACGTATGAAATTTTCAGCAGTGTTGCTATAAAGATGCAATAACCAAGAGGGGAAAAAAAATCAAACATTTTACTACATTCTCTATTGTGTCCCTTATGTAAAAAGGTGTCTTTCACATAAACTGAGAAAAAGACAAATTCATAGTTTGTTCAGATGTGCTGCCTAAACATTACAAAATATCACATGAGATCTTTTGCTGAGATATGATATGGAGTACAATGTCCAGTAAGTTGTTTGGTAAATACATGTCGATGACATGAAAGGCAGGTTGAGTGGCAATACAATCATGTGAGCAGTCCTTGTGTGCTTATACATCATCAATGAAGTTTAAAGATCTGGTCTGAGCGAGTGCAGTTTCAAATATTACACTGCCCCTGAAACAAGGGGATGAGATGTAAAGTTAGTACAGTCTGAGAACTATCCCGACGTGGGAATAAAGAAGGGATAGATGTTCATAGACGTGCAGATTTCTCATTGGGACATTACCTCAATTAACTTAACTATAAAAATGATGGAAAGAATGAGTATAAATCTATTTTCTAATGATACTTTGCTGTTACTCTGCTCACCCTCCAGACTCAAATCCCAAAGCTGTGATGAAGATGTTGATAAGAACAGTAAAGAACACAAACACAGTTGCTGCGTCATTCATTGTGTTAAGTCTCGGCTGATTCTTAACATCATTCAGGTCATACTTCACTGAAGGGAGCAAGAGAAAACACATCAGTGTTACATCAATGAAATTACAGCAGAATAATTTCAAAGAGATAACTAACCAATGAAGATGAGCAGGAGGCCAACAATGACCTGCAGTGAGATGGACAGTGAGATCAGAGCGATGAGAGGAACGTAGAAGCGGTGCTGTGCTCCTGAATGCAGCACTGTCTTCAGCTGAGAGGAGTTCGCCATCAGAAGAGCCACATCCAGCATGCTCTGCGCTGCACTCTTCTTAGTAGCGTAATGATTCATGTTGAAGCGATGCTGTGCGTTCCCTGCGCCAGGAGCCTGACAGGGAGTGAACATTACATAAAAAAATCTATTGGTGAACACTGTAAACATTCAACATAATTTATATTATATATAAAATATGAATATATGTATATATACAGTGCCGTGAAAAGGTTTTTGCCCCCTTCCTGTTTTTTTTATTTTTTGCATATTTGTCACACTTAAAAGATTCAGATCATCAAACCAATTTTAATATTACGCAAAGATAATGCAAGTAAATACAAAATGCAGTTTTTAAATGATAATTTCATTTATTAAGGGAAAAAAGCTGTCCAAACCTACCTGGCCCTACGTGAAAAATTATTTGCCCCTCCTCTTAAATCATGAAAGAACTGTGATTAACCACATTATTTTAGAAAGCTGAGTTAAATTTCACTAGCCACACGCAGGCCTGATTACTGCCAGACCTGTTGAATCAAGAAATCACTTAAATACAACCTGTCTCCCAAAGTGCAGCATGCTTAAAGAG